CCATTTACATCTGTTTTCCGTCCATTCTGTTTTTTTTATGAAACAAAAATGGGGCTTTGATCCATTTTAAAAAATGGATGTTGAGGGATGTGGATGTGAGGGGATGTAAACGTATTATCATCCATTTATATCAGTTTTTCCATAGAGATGCATTGATGTCTGTTTTTTGGATCAGTGGATGGATGAAAAACGGACAAAACGGTCTGCTAGTGTGAAAGGGGCAAATGAAGGCAAGCAGTCTATACTTGTTTTATATTTGCAGTGCATACTGCAGGGATTACCAAAGGTGACCATCAGGTCCAGTTGTATCAATCCTTGTGAAGTTCCCTTTTTAATTCTGAACACTTTACACATGTGGCACTGTATTACCAACTTACAGATCATCATAGCAGAAGCCTTTGCCAGTCTGGGTGTTAGTGTTTCACCAGTGCCTGGGCAGATTACACAGTATGTGCAGAGTGTCAAATGGTGAAGAACAGATAAATATATTCCCCGTAGTTGATATAGTTCAGTGGTCACTAAATGTTCGGACTGCGGTCCACGAATGGCCCCAGCAGCGCTGCTGCCCGGACCGCCAGCCCGCAATGACAGATCCACCGCTGAGCAGGGCAGTCATCATGGCAACATGACATCACGTGTGCGCCCCGCCCCTTTTGGCTCACTGTCTTTCCGGCTCCCGCTCCTTGCCTGTACACAAGCATCCAGCAAGGATCCCGGCACAGCTCCTGTCTGCCCTCAAGGTAGGATATAGTCTTACAGGGGCACTCTGATGGGCACATTGAATGTTAAGGAGCATTCTGATGGGCACAACATAAAATGTGCCCATCAGAGTGCTGCTTAACATGTGCCCATCAGAGTTCCCCTTAATATAAATGTGTCCATCAGAGTGCCGCTTAACATAAAATGTGCCCATCAGCATGCCCCTTATTTTATGTTAAGGGGCACTCTGACGGGCACATTTAATGTTGAGGTGCACTCTGATGGGCACAACATAGAATGTGCCCATCAGAGTGCCCCTTAACATAAAATGTATCCATCAGAATGCCCCTTAATATAAATGTGCTCATCAGAGTGCCCCTTAACATAAAATGTGCCCATCAGCATGCCCCTTATTTTATGTTAAGGGGCACTCTGACGGGCACATTTTATGTTAAGGGGCATTCTGATGAGCACATTTTATGTTAAGGGACACTCTAATGGGCCCATTTTATGTAAAGGGAGCGCAAACGGGTACATACTGTGGAAAGGGGCACTCTGATGGGTACATGTGTTGGAAAGGGGCATTCTTATGGACACGTGATGGAAAGGGGCTTTCTGATGGGGAAGATGATGTAAAGGGGCACTCTGATGGGGAAATATGATAGAAAGGGGTACTTTGAATGTAAGGGGGCACTCTGACGGGAATACCTGATGTAAGGTGGCAATGTGATGGGGATACCTGATGTAAAGGGGCACTCTGATCGGGACAACTGATGTAAAGGAGCACTCTGATGGTCACACCTGATGTGATGGGAATATATGATGTAAAGTTGCACTCTGATGCCAACACCTAATGTAAGGGGGCACACTGATGGGCACACCCTGTTTGGACCTCGGCCAGAAGAAAATTTTAGTGACTGGACTTCCTTGAGTTTTAATTCAATACCTCTGGTATAGTTGATCATAGGCTGTGTGTCTTGTTCTTATGATTTAGCTGTTTTATTCAATATCTTGAATCGGCTGGTTCTGACAGTACTGGAGGCATGATTTCATCTATTTGCTTGATCATAAAATGTTAGATAAATAAGTACATTATGATTTTTTCTTGTCTCGTATAACTATATAAATCTAAATATTCAGCAGATTACTTATTTACTATATCAAACTAGTGGTATAAATCCTGGGTTACATTTTCAGTAGATACAAAATTGATTTTTAAATGCTTTCTTGTATATTTCTTGATTTTTAAATGCTTGTGTCCTTGATCCCCATGGAACTTCTCAAACCTTCTAAAACAGGATTGTGGTTTTATTCCAACTTGTCCCTAGTACCCAGAAATAATAGATCCTATTGCCCAGTTCTATATAATGGTTCAGGAAATTAGGACCATCCTGCTAGGATGGCTTGGACTTGCCCTGCTTTTTGTTCCTGATAGGGGCTTTAACTCTTTAGATGTCCCCTGCTGAACCACTTGGGTCAGAGATGGACACACTATGGTGTTGCTTGGTATTCTTAGATATTTTTGAAGAGAAGGTGGTTTTCAGAAATGTATCATTTTTTCTCTTAAATATGGGATTCAACTGGGAAATGCCCCCCTCAGAAGATCCTACTCAACTACACATTAAATGTACATGTCCAGTTATGTTTTAGGAATTGAGCTTAGCAAGTCTGCAAAGTGGTGGTTCAGTCATTTCTAAATACTTTTATCAAGTTGTATCAAGGTAATGTATCAGTATTAATAGAATGTGGTCTTTGGTAGGGAGGTCTTGCTAGCTGTGTTTTCATGGTGGCATTTCCATGTTTTTTACTCCTCCAAAACCTTTGTTTGCAATATCCTTTTAAAAATAGTTATCTGCAAAAGTGGGCCATTCCTGTGGAAAATCCTGCCATTTCTTGTCTTTACAAGACCTTCACATCCCCATGGAGGATAACCCACATGCAAAGACCCAGTAGACATAAGGTTAGAGGCCCTCTTTAAAGCCATGTTTTCCTTTACTGGCTCTACTATGCAGCCTTCGGTTATTTCTAGGTCAGTCTGTCAGACCATTGTGGACTGGTATAAACGCAAGATCCTAGTTCTATTCTAATGGATGCCTCAGTCCACAGTCAGGCCTTTTACCTATGGTGTTATGCTATTTTGTGGATGGCTTTGTAGACACACTTCATTAGATCTCCATTATGAGTTTTATCGTTTGGCTGAAATGCTGGTCATGCAAGAAAAGCCTTGAGTGATTACCCTTTGATGGCAAACACCTGTTTGGCAGCTCCTTGTAGAAGTACACCAAGGAGATTACAAGGATAAGAATGCTCTTCTTCCTCATAAAAATAAGGTTTGTGCATCTACTGGTACGACTTCTGTTCCTGATGTTAAGAAAGGTTGTTTTGGTCTCTCTGTCTTTCATTTTTAAATCTAAAGTAGGAATGCAATTTCATAGTTAAACATGGCCTTCTAAATTGGTCATGGCTGGTTCCAAGTGATGAGGTGCCCCCACTTCTCTGAGTAGAGGAACTTTCAACCTTCTGGTCCCAGAAAGTCTCAAGCGCCTGGGTACAGAGTGTCATTTCCAGGAGCTACAAGCTGGAATACCAAACCAAATGAAGGAGTCTAGACCATTCTGGATCTGACAACTCACAACTTGTTCCTACAGTTGCTAAAGTTCCACATAGAACCTGCAAGGTTGGTCATTGCTTCCCTTTTTCCAGGGGGATTTTATGGCCTCCATAGGCATCCAGTGTGCTTACGTGCACATTCACTCCCATCTCTCCATCTCATCAGGACTACCTGCGTTTGGCAGTGGGAAGATGAATCATTGCCAGATTGTTGCCCTACTCTTTGGCCTTTCCTTGGCTTTTTTTAGGTTTTCACCAATGTGCTTGATCCCATCTTGACTCTGCTCTGTGCTAAGAGGATTCATGTTGTGGGTCAATTTTCTTGTAAAAGGACCAGTCCTCCCTATCCCCATTTGCCAATATCCAGCAAATAGTGCAGACTCTGCAGAGCTTTGGTTGGATCACTAAATCGATCTCCTGGATTGGAGTACCCAAGCTAGACGTAAGACATGGCCCTATCCAGGATCATTCTACTTCGTACCTGTGTAAGGGTCATGGTCATTGTGATTGCTTTCTTTGAGGCTGTTTTGAGCCTTGGCTTGTTCTGTTTCAAAACATTCTCTTGTCAGATGCTAGCCTGTCATGCTAAGACAGAGTCCTGGATGCCCTTTCGATGGGACTTGGTTGTTGAAGGAAGCATTACTTTTCATCGTTTGTTGCAGAGCTCAAATTGATCTGATTGTCCCTTCAATGCTGGATACCTTTATTGTGAGGACTTCACATAAGAACCCAGTCATACAATTTCACAGCTGTGGCCCACACAAAGGTTACCAGATTTTCAAAATGAAATCCAGGTACAATCTACCAACCATGCCCAATTTTAACACCCACAAAATAATGCCCCCATTTTTTAACAAACCAAATGATCATAGACTTTTCGAAGAGGCAGACATTGAAGGTTTAAATACAAAATGCCTTGGGCACAGTATGCAGAGAAATGATATGGCCCATGTAGGCTGAAGAGAAAAAAAAAATTCCTATGTGCATGGCTGGCTTTAATCTGGTGTTCTTGGCTCTTCAGAAGATGCTTTTTAACCTTTTTAGGAATATTTCTTTGTCTGACCTTACTTGCAAGGTAGCTTTTCTTGTTTCCATCACCTGTGGGTGGGAGGGTTTCTGAGTTAGCGGCCTTATCCTGTAAGGGGCCCTTCATAGTATTGCACAAGGACAAGGTTTTCTTGCAGCCTAAGGTGGACTCTTCCTTCTACCTCAACCAGGTCTTTGCTCTTCCTTCCCTGTGTTCTTTGAAACATCCTAGGAACTGTCTCTCTACTGTTTTCACATGGTATACACTTTGAGTGTCTACCTCTCAGCTAATGCCTCTTTTAGGCAATCTCATTCCCTTTTTGTACTTCTCAAATGTTCTCACTGGGGGAGATGTCATAGGTTCGTAAAGGCCTCTTCTGAGTTTTAGTCATATATCCCTTCCTCTTAATTTGATTTGCCATTTGTTTGTTTTTTCAGCTTCCATCAAAGCAGCTACTAAATGGTGGCTAATGGTTACTTTTTCTGTTGGGTTTTTTAGCCCTAAATTAAATAAACCAATCCATAATACCTAAATTACCCAAAATGTACTTAATTAAATGTCTATGAGTTTCTATGTTGTGCTTACACACAATTCATCTTATGTATTGCTTTCAGAGATAGCACTTGGCAGTAATATTTACTTTACTTTTATTCTACTCTTCTAGATATGAAGTTGCCCACCAACTTCAGCAACACCAGTCTACACCTTCTGAAGAAACCTCAGTAGATCAGATTCATGTATCCAGTCAAATACAGGTGGAAATAGAAGGGACTAACCTACATCAGCAAACCACTGTAGCCACACAACAAGAAGCAATTTTACAGCTCAGCCCGCAGCCAGATATGGATACTGTTTCACCTGCTCTAGAGCAGACGCTTGCTGAACAACCTCTACAAGCTGAAGAAGGTAATTCTTTAACAGAGGCATGACAACTTGTTATCCCATAGATTTACAATACATTTGTTAGGTTTCCATGCACAGCATAAATTCCTGCCCACCAACGTTGCACCTGCTGTCCTGAATAGTGTGCCTACTCCTCTTCCACCTTCAGTCTGCGATATTTCCACTTAGACCAAAATCTCTTACTCTACCAAATGATAACAACTTACAACAACTTTTGTTTTGCTACCAAGTGCTAAGATAGAGTTGTGAAGGGAATCCCCTTTCCTGCCTAAAGCTTTCAGACATTCTTATGTTAATGTCCTGTAATAATCTTGTTCTTTCCATTGCAGTGCCAGGGAACACCAGGCCACAAAGGGAAAAAAAAGATGAACAAATTTAATCTGGGTACAGTGTTGCATAACCAAATCATTGTCAGTCAAACTATCACAGCACAAAAAAATATGAAAAAAATGGCCTAATAATGAAATGGTAGTACAGGCTGGTCCCCGACTGGTTAAAGATTTTTTAGGCAATTAGCTTTCAATTCCATATATACCTTTTTTTACTTTTTTCACAAATCATTGTGAGACATGCATACTAACTGAGAAATTTGATTGTGTGAATTTTTGACTGCCGTGACATTAGATTTGAACATGAAACGTAAAAAAAAAAATCTCAATGTGAGCAGTGATTTAAGAAATGCAGTTTACCGATAAACTTCCTAGACTCTCTCTACCAATGGCTATGCCGTTTCTTGAAGTGCTTCTTTCATTGAAGGTGTTTGCACTTTTCAGATAGATTTGTGACTTCCCAGCATGCACTACAGGAGAATATTGCCCAGTACGAGCCTCAGGTCTTGCCTCCACAGCCGTTTGATCAGCAAGGGCTACCACAAGGTAAGCAGATAAAATCAGAAATTATCCTTATGTGTTGCATATATACTGTTTAACAGTTGTGTTGTGTCTAATATTGCAAATCTATCTTAGGCTTTACAGTAACTGATGGATTCAGCCAGCAAACTTCTTTCCCAGCTGTACAGCAGTTACAGGACTCCAGCACTCTTGAATCTCAAGCTCTCTCTTCAAGTTACCAACAGCCAACTCTTATGGAGGTACCCACCACAGACACAATGAATGTGGTAATCTTCTAATTTGTTTCCTATACTGGTACTTGGCTCCGTTCACACTTGTGCATCTTCAAGGTCACACAGTTTTGAGTGCGATTTTGGAGTGCAACTTTGAACGCGACTTTGTTGTGACTTTACACTCTCTGGCACTCAAGTCGCACCAAAGTAGTGCAGGAACCTTTTCAAAGTTGCTGGGACTTTAAGTCACATAGGTTTGAACAGGTGCCATTCCAAAGTTACATGACAAATCACACAAGTGTGAACAGAGCCTTAATGATGTAATTGCAATTTTATGTATGACATATCACACCGATAAAATTGGAATATGCTTTGAGGTGCAAGGAAAACTCAAAAAGGTGGAAACTTTTGATGGCCAGTTTGCTTTAATGAGAAAGTATGACCAGCCAGGTTATGGGAGGCTATGCTTGAAAGAATCAAAAAGCTCTCCACTTTGCTAACACAATAGCTCCTTCATAAAACAAGTATGTTATTATAACCCCCAGTGTTGGTGTCAGTGTATGCAATATTAACCCCCAATATTAGTGTCTGTGGCTGCAATAATAACCCCCAGCACTGGTCTCAGTGGACAAAGTCGTAACCCCCTGCAATGATGTCAATGGCAGCAATAATACCTGCCAGCATTGGTGTCAGTGATTTTGATAATTACCCTCAACTTTGGCGCCAGTGGCCGCAGTAATAATCTCCAGCATTGGTTTATGAGACCGTGATAATAAAAACCACACCAGTCTCAGTGACTGCAATAATAATCCTCAGCATTGGTGGCAATATTAAAACCCCCCTTCCCCACAATTTGGTGGTCAGAGGCAGTGCTTTCAACCGCAGCCTGGTGGTCAGTGACAGTGAAATTTTATACCCCCCTAGCATTGGTGGTCAGTGGTTACTTACCTGATCACATGCTTCTATGCTGTGATCTCTCTCTTCAACAAGGCTGGCGTTTTTCTTGCACTGAGGTGTGAAGATCCCTCCAGGAGTCACTGGGCTGCATGTAGCCTGCAAATTGTGTTTCGGCACCAGGGTGTACACTATATTAGACACATTATCTGTGTTCAACGTATTGTAAAGTCAGAATGTCTGAACTGCATTATTGTTCCAGGTCAATGACTTAAACATTGGTATCACTATTTGAGCATGATTACAGCCAAGCAGCTGCAAGCATTTCCAGAAGGGATGCAAGCTGCAAGTATTGATAGCCTATGCATTTTGAGCAGCACAAATTTCCTACAAAAGCTTTCCCTTTCTTGTCTATAGATAGACACAGGAAATGTTTAACTTTCAGGTTATAGGCTAGACCAAGATAACCCCTTCCTACTCCCAGCAAGATTGATTTGTTTGCTAGTGTCCTTGGGAGGATGAACACCTTTTCATCAGCCTGTAAAAGACTAACATATTAGTCACCGACAGTGATTTTTGGAAGTGTTCCTGAGTCCATGCCGTGATGTCTATCATAGAATCATGCCCGTTTTTAATGCAGTGCTGCCTGAGGCCCTAAAGATCATGGGCATCCAATACTGCGTTTTGGCCTACTCCCTTGCACACAATGATTGCTCCAGATTCTTTCAATCTTTTGATGATATTATGTACTATAGATGATGATATATTTAACGTATTTGCAATTTTACATTGAGGAACATTATTCTGAACTTATTCAACATATTTTATACTCTTTTATGATGAAAAACTTTTGTGAACCTCTGCTCATCTTCTGAGACACTTTGACTCTCTAAAAATCTTTTTATACCTAGTCATGTTACTGACCTGTTGTCAATTAACTTAATTAGTTGCAAAATGTTCTTCTGTGTTAATACCACTTACTTTGCCAGCTTTTTGTTGCCCTGTTCCAACTTTTTTGAGATGTGTTGCTGCCATCAATCTCAAAACCACCTTATTTTTTCCTTAAAATGGCACATTTTCACAGTTTACCCCTTGTGACTGAGGTTAAAAAAAATGTTACAAATGTGCATATCATTACAACTACTTTGTATATCCAGGTGGATTATGCCATGTTTTTCTCAGGACAAATTGGGCTTTTTTTTTGGTGGTAAATGGTAATGTATATCTCTTTTTTTTTTTTTTTATTATCAAAGGAAAACTGGCCCAAAATAGTAAAAAAAAATAATTATTTTTTAAAATGTTGCTTTATATTTGTTGCTATTACCATATCTTACCACCAAATAACAACCATAAATAAATTCTGCTCCTGACTATCACTGCATTACCACATATTTTGATTTTTTTATACGACCTAAAACACACTGACACTGATACTAATTTAAACAGCATTTTAGAAATAAAAATATCCTACCCAGAATATGATGACCCTAACACTAGCACTGACCTAGATCAAACCTTGATCTAGCTATTTTGTTCTTTATTTTTTAAATTTTCTTTTATTATTTTTTTTTTTACAAACTTTAGTTTGTTTACAGCTTTCTCTACTGCGAGAAGAGAAAGGTACAATGTATTTTTCTCTCCATTCAGAAGAGAAAGAAAACACAAGGGTGGGCTGCACAGTGACTGATCACTGTTATAGCCAGTTAGAGGCTATCAAAGTGATCATATGACCAGGAACAGAACGTTCCGGGTCTTTATCATTAGTATGAGACCCAGGGGTCTCTGTTCCAGCACAAAAAGAGGTATGCATGTATGCTGCCTCATGGATAAAGACCCACTTCCGTGAGGCTACATATTTGTATATGGTCGGTGTGAAGGGATTAAACATTTGATGTGTTTTATATTGTGAATAAAATATGGGTTTATAAGATTTTCGAATCATTGCATTCTGTTTTTATGTAGATTTTACGCAGCATCCAGACTTTTTGGGAATTAGGGTTGTAATATCATCAATAGTGAACACACACATACATAAATAGTGCAAGAACATCCATGTGTAATAGATCATTAATAGTGCATAATTAAGGCAGTGCAGTCTGTCAGGGCTCCCGGTAAGACCAGAGATGCGTGAACTGACACAGGGAAACGCAGGTTCAAGTATGGTGTAACAATATAATTTATTAAAGGTTATACACAAATATCAACGTACAATATAACAAACCAAACCTCCAACTGATAACGGAATGTACACAGACAAGAGCAGTCAGGGCTGGTGAGGTGGAGTGGTCAGGCGGGCCGGATCAGGAACCATCGGGCAGACAAAACACAAAGGAGTAGGCAGAGCGTAGTCAGATGGGCCGGGTCAGGAACAATCAGGCAGACAAGGTACCAAAGGAGCAGGCTGGAGAGTGGTCAGGAATAGCCGAGGTCAGGACAGGCGGAGTTCATACAGAGTCAGGATCAAAGCAGAATCAGGAATCAGGCAGGAAGCAGACAGGATGCAGGTACAGGGGCTCATGGGAAACATACACCAAGGCACTGACTGCAGGTCTGGCCATTCCTTAAATACACCTCCTGCAATCAGCCTCAGGTGATGGCTGATTGCAGGAGTGAGCTTCTGGTTGCTGAGAGCACCCGCTGGCCAGCCCTGGTACTGCAGCCCACAAGGCAGGTGAGTCCCACCACCATTGGCGAGTCCATTCCTGACACAGTCATTGTGGAGCAGAGGTCACTTATACCATGCATCACTCAGTCCCATATATATTAATTTCATCCCCAGTGTAGTCATCTGCTTAATATGTGAATAAACAAATCTGTACATTGATTTTGATTGTAAATATATAGGACAACAAGTAAAAATAGAAGAATTGCATTGAAAATGTAAAATAAAACATAATGCCTACAATAGTATCTAAGGCTCACACTGAAAATACAGTAAAGTTTCCTTTGTTATTCCTCTCTTAGCAGATTTAACAGTTAAGGGTGGTACTACTAAACTAGATTGTTACTGTAACTGCTATCAACAGCCAATGACACAAGAAAAAAAAATGATAGAAATACAGAAATATCTTTACTAAAACTGATATAAAAAATACAAAAACAATACAAATTTTACTTCTACAACAGTAAGAGACTGTTGAATAAACTTGCCAACAGGCATTCATTCAGCTCAAAGATGGCAAGATATAGGTACTGTGACAGTGCTGTGCTCTGCTAAGGTGTTGAGGGGCTCCAAGGTTCCCGGAGATTTCGTAGAGATTTGGGGAGGGGGGATCTCCAATCCTGGGAACAGGTTTTGCAGACAACCAGCACACTGATGGTGCAGTTGTTCACATGTGTTATAGTCTGTGACCTGACAGTAGAGAGAGGGACAGAGCAGCAGGAAGCTGCAAGAAAGAGAGCTGACAGTGGTACAGTGTTGGCACATGAGCTCAGGGATGCTGTGTTAAACGATCTGAAGGCCTCAGCAGCTGTGCTGCAAGAGTCAGGAGGCTGAATATTGTTTATTTTGTGTTTATGTTGTAAACCTCTATGTGGGTAACTGTGTTGAACTTTTGACTTTTTGTTGGACTTCTTTTTCCATTCAAGTGGGCCAACAAGCCCTAAAACAGCATATATGACGTGAACTGTACTCACTGGTGAGCACTACACTTGAGCTAAGCATCCCCCAAACATTACAGTACGTTAAAGTTTTTTTCCACTTTTGCAGCCCGGTTGGCATAACACCTACTTTATATTTGTTATATTCACATAGCAAAACTTCAAATATATTTGAAAAACTGCTGCTAGGTTTTTAGGTGCTCTTTTGTGGAACTTTCAGCAAGGAAAAATTCGATATTCTACTCTTGTTGAGGGGTGGTGGGGAAGCGCTGTTTAATATAATAACTCAGTCTGGAAATGGATATCTCCATTGTACTAGATTTAAAACACTGTCTGGTTTAACAAAAGGTTAAAGGATTAGAATCTGGGCTTCTCCTCTCCATTGTATGCTATGAGAACTTGACTCAGCCAGTCCCCAGCACAGTTATAGGGGACAGATCACGCCAAGCCAGCTGAGAAATGTTTGCAGTCAGCCATGACCTCTCTCAGAAACATCTAAACGTAAGAAATATTTACATTTTTTATATAGGTATGCAGTGTAAATAGGAACACATAACAAATATATAGTGGTTGGGTTTTTTTTCCCCAAATTTGACTACAAAAGTGGGAATACACTTTGATGCTAACACCTCTTCCTGTTAATGTTTTAAAAGCAAAGTTCTAGTGATTGTAAATTTTTTTTTTAAATAACAAGCATATTATACTTACCTGCTCTGTGCAAAGGAATTGCATAGAGCAGCCCCGAACCCCCTCTTCCCAAGACCCTCGTCGGCACTCCTGGCTCCTCATATTCTTGGTGTGCCACCATAGGAAGCTGCTTATTATGGCACTGGCACACCTACGAGCTTGATCCCAAGCCACACTGTCTGCCTCCATAGACAATGTGGCTGTCTCCCAGTACTATCTATCAAATTTGAAAACAGTGTGGCCGTGCGGGGCTCTGCCCACACGGCCGCATCATTCATTCATGGACTTCTATGAATGAATGAACTGCAAGTCCCGACAGCCTTTGCGGCTATCAGCTTGTAGTTTTCAATTAACTAACATGGCGCTGTGGAGCTTCCCATCAGAATATCTACTTGCTTGTACATCCTGGATGGCAAGCAGATATTTTGACAGGTCTGCAGAAGACATGCATGGCATCAGCAATCTACTGATCACTGGTGCAGTGCTTTTCAGGCTCCTGTAGACAAAAATAATAAATGCACATTTTTTTTACCTGCAAAAAAATGTGCATTTATTATTTTTGTCTAAAAGGTGAACTTAACCTTTAAGCTTCAGAACCACGTTTCAGGAAAAAATAATAAAAAAATATAAGTTATGTGCATTTATTATTTGTTTCCCCAAGGAGCCTGTAAAGCATTGCACCTGCTGCCATTCTTGTAACTGTGGGGATGATGAAGAGGACAGAGCAAACTAGCAAAGTTGTAGTTGGGCTAAAATGGTGGACAGAATTTGTTTTTCCACAGATTCTATTTCCACTTTCCTTTCTGCATTATCTTACTGAACAGGCCAATAATATTTATATTGTTAACATCCTTGTGATTTTTTTTAGTTCTATTCTTTCTACAGTGCAATGGTAGCCCTGTGTACAAGCAACCACATATTTTTATATTTCTAGACTGCTCGCTTAATTCAGGAAGAGACACAAGAAGAGATTGAATTGCAGACCCAGCGAACTACGTTTCTGGAATCTACAGAGGATCAAAGCAGGCGTGCTTACAGGCTAGTACAACTAATACTAGTAAACTGTGGAAGCTAAGTGCATTAAGTAACCCACATTAATCTAAACTCAGATGATTTGCCTCAAACGGCAGCTACCAGCTAAGATAAATCATATGAAAGGAGTGTTTTTCTGTGAATTATTTTTATCCTAAAACTTTTTACTATACCATAGTACTTCCAGCAAGCGTAAATATTATTTTGATCTTTAATCTATCTGCAGAAGAAAAAGAATACAGTATATTTTCTATTTATATTATAGATGTGAATATTGCAGTAAAGGTTTCAAAAAGTCCAGTCATCTGAAGCAGCATGTTCGATCCCACACTGGAGAAAAACCATATAAGTGCTCTATGTGTGGTCGTGGTTTTGTTTCATCTGGGGTACTCAAGTCACATGAGAAGACTCATACAGGTAAAGTTTTCCCTAAAGAAGATATTCACCTATAAAATGAGACTGTGTTTTTTTTTACTGCATGATAAAATTCACCTTTAAAAATGAACCTGTGCTTTGTGGATTTAATCATCTTGTCCAGCAACTCATAGCCAAAACAATTTGAGCCATATGGTGCCCTAATAAAGGTTGCAAGGATAAAAACTCTACAGTATTTCCACAGTGCAAGAGTCAGCTGAATGCACTGTAGCCATAAACAGACCTATTTTCAGTTGCAGGCAGTAAGGTCCACAAGCCATCAAGCTCTTTTGCTCAGGAGAAAATTTGGTTCCAGAAATTTTAAATGCATTGTCCTTTATCTCCTTGTGAAACAGTGACTGCCCATGCCAAACTTAAAAAATATATTTTTTTTGCGCTAATCATATATCTTATCTCATAAATATAAAAATGTTATTTTTAAGAGCTTACTTTTTATCATATATATTATACCATGATAAAAGTCTTTCTTCAGTATATGACTGAGACTCCACTATCTGTTTCTATGGAGGAGCAGAAACAGAATCTTGGATATTGATTCTAGAGTCCCAGTCAGAGACTGATTCACGCCTTGTGCATCCCACTAATCACTTCTAAATAAATTGACCCGTATATATTCGGAAAAAGTAAGGCAAGCCATAGATGATGCCATTTTCCTCACTGCAGCCATAGTAAGAGAACTACAGGTTCCCGGGCCCCTGATTATTGTGATAGCATCTGATTGGCTATTACAGTGATCAGTCACTCTGCAGCTCCCCATGTGTTTTCTTTCTCTCTTGCTGTGGAGAAGGATGTAAAAAAAAACAAAAGTGTGAAAAAAATTGCTAGAGCAAGGTTTGATCTGGGTCAAGTTTGGGGTCAAAGGTCAAGTCAAGGTAGGATTTTAGGTAGGATTTTTTTAAAAAGGTATTTTTTAAAATTTGTTTCAGTGTCGGTTATCGACAGTGTGTTTTAGGTACAATACAAAAAATAAAAATGTACCCTAGTATGGGTACAAACGGCAGATAACATACACATATGTGGTATCTCTATGATCGATAGGAGAATTTATTTTGGGTTGTTCTTTGGTGGTAATTAATGGTAATAACAAGAAATATATAGCTACATTTATTTTTTTTTTCACTATTTTGGGTCAGTTTTCCTTTAATAGCTAAAAACAAAATCAGATGAAATCCTTTACCATTTACCTTCAAAAGAAATCAAAGAGCGCATCCAGGTGGATTATACCTTGGTTTTTTTTTCAGGAAAACTGCTAAGTAGTTTTGATGATATGTACAGTTTTACTAACACATGTCAAAATTGGGTCTGGGCGTTCAGGTTTGTTTTACCCTCTGTCATGAAGGGGCTAAGGGTAAGTATGCCTGAAATCAGCTCATTTCTCCTTTAACCTCTTGCCGACCGCGCATAGCCGAATGACGGCTTCACCGCGGCCGGCCAGTTCTGGGTGGACGTCATATGACGTCCTCCCAGAACGCGCTCTCCTGCGCGCCCCAGGGGGCGCGCACCCGGTGATCGCTGTGTCCTACGGACACAGCTGATCACGTGATGTGGTAAAAGGCCAATCACAGCGGCCTTTTACCACCTGATCAGCGGTGTCCAATGACACGCTGATCACAGGGAAATGCAAGTGCCGGTTCTCGGCTGCACTTTCCTCACTCTGTCAGATCGTGAGGAAAGTACTGCCGAGAACCGGCAGTTGTCAGAGCGGGGATCGGCACCGATCATCAGGGCACTGATGATCAGTGCCCTGATGATCGGTGCCCAGCAGTGACACCCGCAAGTTCCGCCCAGCAGTGCGCCCACTAGCTCCACCCACCCGTGCCCAGCAGTGCACCCACCTGTGCCCAGCAGTGCCCCCACCTGTGCCCAGCAGTGCACCCACCTGTGCCACTCTGCAGTGCCACCTACCTGTGCCCAGAAGTGCCACCTACATGTGCCCACCAGTGCCACCCACCTGTGCCCACCCACCTGTGCCCACCAGTGCCACCCACCTGTGCCCACCCACCAGTGCTGCCCACCAGTGCCACCCACCAGTGCAGCCCAGCAGTGCTGCCAGTCAGTGCCACCAGTCAGTGCCCAGGGGTTGTGCCAGTCAGTGCCGCCAGTCAGTGCCCAGCAGTGATGCCAGTCAGTGCCGTTTATCAGTACCCATAATCAGTGTCACCTATCAGTGCCGCCTATCAGTGCTGCATATCAGTGCCGCCTATCCGTGACCCCTAATTAGTGCTGTCTATCAGTGCCGCCTATCCGTGCCACCTCATTAGTACTGCCTATCAGTGCCCTTTAGTGCTACCTATCAGTGCCGCCTATCAGTGCCCATCAGTGCTGCCTCATCAACGCACATCAGTGAAGGAGAAAAAATACCTGTTTGAAAAATTTTATAAAAGAAACAAATAAACTTTTTTTTTTTTTTCAAATTTTTTGCAATTTTTTTATTTATAGCGCAAAAAGTAAAGCGCCCAGTGGCGATTAAATACCACCAAAAGAAAGCTCTATTTGTGAGAAAAAAATGATCAAAATTTCATATGGGTACAATGTTGCATGACCGCGCAATTGTCAATCAAACTGCGGCAGCGCTGAAAGCTGAAAATTGGCCTGGTAAGGAAGGGGGTATAAGTGCCTGGTAGGCAAGTGGTTAAGGTAGAGAGACACACTAGAAGTACAGCATAACACAATGGCAGCTGAAGGAGACCTGTGTGTCCCTGTGCCAATTTCAGCAAGCTAAACAAAATTGGCAGCCATCCTAATATATAACCAACCTTTGGGGTCCTTGCACATGGTACTAATGTACAAATGCAGGATCTTCCTTGCAGAAAATTCCTGAATAAAAAATGGGAGTATGATCTGTACACTCAGCGGCCACTTTATCAGGTACACCTGTTCAATTGCTTGTCAACTCAAACTACTAATCAGCCAATCACATGGGAGCAACTCCATGCATTTAGGCATGTAGACGTGGTGAAGACGACTTGCTGAAGTCCAAACTCGGCATCAGAAAGGGGGATATAAGTGACTGAGCGTGGCATACTTGTTGGTGCCAGACGGGCTGGTCTGAGTATTTAAAAAACTGCTGATCTACTGGGATTTTCACACACAACCATCTCTAGGGTTTACAGAGAATGGTCAGAAAAAGAGAAAATATCCAGTGGGAGTGGCAGTTGTGTTGGCAGAAATGCCTTGCTGATTTCAGAGGAGAATGGGCAGACTGGTTGCTGTGACATTCAGATGGTAGGGTCAGAATTTGGCATAAACAGGAAAGCATGGATCTATCCTGCCTTGTATTAATGTTTTCAGGCTGGTGGTGGTAATGTAATGGTATGGGATATTTTCTTGGCACTAGCAAGGTGTACCTAATAAAGTGGCCGGTGAGTGTATACTGTATGTGCACATAACAGTTTCAGAATGATTTTTCCAAGTCCCAAAATTTAAGGGAGTATGATTTATGTGCCTATTGACATGTTTGCACATAAAATGCTGACTTTTGTCCTTTTATTTTTTTTTTTATTTTATTTTTTTTTTTTTTTACACTGATCTAAGCACGCCACTAGTTTACTGATATGTACATGCTTGAGTGTACAAACCCATTTAAAGTAATTGGCTGCTTTCAGATCAGTAAATAAATTCCTGAATGCATAAAAATGTGCTGCTTTTTTGTCAACGTTTTCAAGAGCCCTTTAGAGTATTGTGCACATGGAAGGACTTTACACAGAATAGAATTTTAAAAACTGAAACTGACAGAAGGTGGAGTAACTGTGTGTGGCAAACAATCAGCTTCTAACTTCAACTTGTTCAGTAAAGTGGTTGTAAAGGCAGAATGTTTTTATTTTCATGCATTATCTGCATTATGGTAAAAAAACTTCTGTGTTCAGGTTCCCCCTGCCCCCCTCTTATACTTACCTGAGCCGAATCTCAATCCAGCGCTGGGTCTAAGAGCAGTGGCTCTCTCCTTAGTGGACATGGAGGCAACAGCGGAGCCTCTGTAAAGTGTGGTCCTAACTGTAGTCTATTAGAAGATCCATACTGGAGCATATACAGTATATAGCAATTGATAAATTAAGGGCAGGTATGCCTGGAAAAAGCTAATTCCTCCAGAAGCCCAGCACAGCAGAGTGGCAGCTGGAGCATCCACTATCACTAGCTCGTCTTTCAAGCTTTTGACCTTGGGGGCAAGCTTCCCTTCTTCCAGGTCAAAGGTCGTGCCAATAGGTCAGTCAGTGCTTCTTGGGCATTTCAGATTCAGGCATCTGTTCCTCAGATTTGCATGGCTTCCACCTGGTTTTTTAATATCGTGCTCATGGATTTTTCCAGATAGATATTCAGACCTCAGCTGATACCAGCTTCAGTTGTAAAGATTCTTCAGATGGATTTTTGGGCTTTCTTAAAGTGTTACTAAACCCATGACCCTGTATTCACTATATCTGGTCTTCCACAGTACAAATAACATGGAAATGCAATTATTTTAGTAAATATAAACTGCTAAATACCTTTTCTCATTATCAGTATACAGTATAGCAGTCTTGTGACTTCTATCAGTGTCCAACCGAGCACTGGTTAATCTTTCTAGGAGGAGCTTTAACTCTCCTCTGACTGTCCTATGATACACCCTTTAGCAATACACCCCAAACGGAACATGTGCAGACTTGCCACTGCTACTCTATACTATGGCATATGGATTGGGGACTGTAGAAGAAGGGAGGATCAGAAAAGACAGGATCAAACAGCTTTTTTACATATTGCGAAGGATTAATCCCTTCGGTTCCATAATGAGTATAACCAGCATGCTTTACTGCATATACAGACTGATTTTACTGTTGTGGGTTTAGTAACTCTTTAAGCAAACTCTTTTAAAGGCTAAGATCACCTTTAGTAACATGTTACACCCATTTTCAGTGTTTAGCATGTAATATGTAACTAAACCAGCAGTAAGTTATAGCACACAGGTCCCTCCCTGCTGTTCTTATGATCTCTTGTTATTATTTCTTGCTACTAAACTGAGGCATACAGGGAGCTGGAGGATTTATACTGGGCTATCTTGCTTGTCGTGTCCAAAATACTATCCTGTGTCCCATAATGTACGCAGAGGAAAAGGATTTTACAGATAAGAGAAAAATCCTCTTTTCTTTTCAAGGTTCAGCCTGGTCCCACCTCTTTTCACCTTCCATGCCTCTTGTTGGTCTTTTAACCTCATAGATCAACCGAGAGTCTTGGGGGGTAAAAGAGGCTATGCCAAGCTTGACTTTAGCAGTCAAAGTGGAGCTTTGCATACAGTATTTTGAACTATCGCAAACTCTGAAATCTACTAATCATTTTGGCAGGCGGATTTCATTAACTAACTTTGACTTCTGCATATGCACTCTTCTGTCATATGCTCAGGTAGATTGTGAATGTAAAGCAGACCTATAGTGTAATTACCCTTTCCCACCTTCCTGACTTTTCCCTCATTACTCATAAATGGTGGAAAAAGCCATGTAATAATTGTACTGCAGAAAACAGTGATTTGAAGTCCATCTGCCAGGAGTGTGATCTCAGCTGAAAAAGGGTCTGCATTCAATTTTAAATAAGAGCATACTCAAGATGGAGGGGAAGTTACTTCTTATTTCTAGAAATGGGAACTTTGATAGCTAGATCTCTGTCTGAACCCCCAGCACCTACCACTGCCATAACAATGGGTTTCACTCTTTCTATTGGAGTTTTCATCCGTTTTGCATTATGCAGTAGAAGATTTGAAAATCTGTGACAATAAAATCTGCATCAGCAACTGTTTGTTGAAAATAAATGTAACAGTTTGAATAGTTATTCAGACAAACAGTGACTACCCTATTTTTTTTTTTTTTTTTAATTGGAAAGATTGATCCTCAAATTCTGTTTAATTTAAACGTGGCAGAAAAAATGTTTATGCATAGTTATGAGAAGAAAGGACCACTTCAATTTTACAGTTACAACAATGCATTAACAATAAAAATTGTTTTCAATAATTTTGTCACAATGGAAATATATCATTCTTTAACCAATGCTTGGCAATGATGTGTTTAACCAGTTCTTGGCAATGATGTATTTGCAGGTGTTAAAGCTTACAGTTGCACTATATGTAATGCGTCCTTTACAACAAATGGCAGCCTAACAAGGCACATGTCTACTCATGTCAGTATGAAACCCTACAAGTGCCCTTTCTGTGATGAGACCTTCAGGACAACAGTTCACTGTAAAAAACACATGAAGAAGCACCAGAACATTCCCTCCAGCCTCCTTTCAGATGGAGATGGGACTACAAGAGAAGACGGTAAGTAAAGAATTATCACAATATATTCCATAGGTCAGATGTTTTCTGAAATTTGTGGAATTATCATGTTCTTGTAAGGCATCAATGGTTGTTTTTTTTTTAAGCCGCTTGTGGTCTTCTATGGCCAGTTTCCCATGACACTTTATTTCTTTGCCGAAGCACAAAAGGCTGTAACAATGACATTGTTCTCTTAAAGGCAAATTTCACAGTCATTTGCCTATGCTACATTATGCACAACCCAGAGTGTGACATCAGTATTTGACTTTGCAGTGGTGGCCCTGGTAATTGGTAATGGTGTGGATATTGCATAACTGCAGTACAAGAGAGAGTGCAGCTATAATGCAGATACAAATAAATACATATTGATACCGTGCCACCAAAATAAATACTAATACATCAATAGAGTATATTTATAGTGAAATTTAACAATAAATTATTGAAAGTGACTCAACGTGAAAAAGTCTACATGTCTATATATAAGTGCTCTTATTAATCTCCAATCAATATTCTTCAGTAAGCATGTGGAAGTTAAACTCCAAATTCCAGTGCTCCAAACAATTTGGTGACACAGATGTCCTCACCTTATCAGATGGATTTATATGAGATCATAAGTCTGCTGTACTTTAACCTCCCTGGTGGTCTTATTATGTCAATATGTTTGAATGTCAAAGAGGTACATTGTTTTGCATGGAAATGTGTTGTTTTATATTGTAGGCCTGTACTTCTTAAGAATAACTCACTTAAATCTGTCCAAACAAGAGTCTAGTAAACATCCCGGATATGACGAAGTTTGAAACACGATTTCATAAATTATAATATAATAAATAATATAATAATAGTACATTTAATTAAATAATGTAATCAAACCAAAAACACTGAAATTTGAAATAGAGCACCAAGTTCGCACATCACTGAGCTCAGTTGCAGAATCGTTTTCAGTGTCTGATGACGAATTTCCCCGCAAATCATTATTGCTCAATTCTGCAAGTGATTCTAATTCACTATCGCTGTTTTCTAGCTGGTCTAAAACTGCTTTTGACCTAAAGGGACGCTTTTTGGAAAAAGCACTAGAGACAAAACTTAGGTGAAATGGTTTGATACGGTAATGTAATCCTAACCGATTACAATGTATTGTGTATGTCATGTTTTTACTTTTTTGAATCTCCCACTGGTTCCGCCCCCCTGCGTCACGACACTCGCAGGTAAGGGAACCTGGAAGATGGATGCCGGCATCGGGCCGGAGGACATAGCGGGAGGACATCGGGGGATTGCAGGACAAGGTAAATTACACTACAGTGTAATCCCGAGTGTAGCTCAGGGTTACCGGTTTTGGTACTGAAAATTAACCCCTGAGTCACACTCCGCTAGGAGGGTTAAACCTCTTCAAATGGGAGAAATTTAGGGCCTGAGGTCAACTCCACACTCTGAACCTTTATGTCCATAACCTCAGCAAAAGATGCATGTTCCCCTTTAGGGCTGGGTAAGCTCTTCTACACCACAATAGAACATGTAGCTGAGATATACTCAAATATAAAAAAAAATAAAGGAGTATTTTGTTGCCTTTATCACTCTGAAAAGCTTGTGCAGTTTTGTAACATTAATATTGGAATTGTACTCATCTATAATTTGACTTAAAATGGTTGTAAACCCTCACATATACCCAGTGAAGTGATTAGCCTCAGATGAAACACAGAGATGAAACAAATCCTCCTACATAAGTTTCACTTGTTTATCTGCAGTCTTCTCTTATATACGTCCCTTCAAAAGTGCTGATTTTAGCTAAAATCCTTCTGCATTTGTCAGTATCACAGAGATGGGGAAAGGGAGCTGCAGTTAGAGCTCTGTGAGAGCTGATTGGAGGAGAGGGACACCCTCCCTCCACAAAGCACACAAGAGCTATGTTGTGGATAGACAAGTTGTCTGCTGAGCCCCCTTCCCTCTGACACCAATTTATCTCATGTGTTTGGAAAACTTGTCAGAAGTAACTCACAGCAATAAAGCACCAGAGAGAAACGACACTTAAGCCTAGCAATGGAGAACTACCTGCTCTACCCTGAATACACTGTTATTCTAGGAATGGGTTGCCACTGACACCTGGCTATACACCTGGATAGAATGGGATCAAAATTAAAACAAAATTGGTGCTGCGCTCCCACACTTATATAAATATTGAAATAAAAAATGAGGTTTCAATTACACCCCTAGTGAATCCTCCTGTGTGTAATTATCCCAAACTAAATTATTCATATTATTATACAATCTTATGCAGTGATGTTTGATAAACTATATGAAATGAAATAAAAATGTGCAAAAACACATAAAACCTAATACATAAACCCACTTGTGTCCCTAAACAGGGTTAAATCACAAATATGTATTAAACCACACGATAAAACACTTGGCATAAATGAATGCTAAAAGGTGCAGTGGAAACAGACTGACAAATGGTACTATTGTGCCTATAAAAACAAACAATAGGACGGTCAGGATAAATTAACCCTGACTATAAGACAAATCTACAAGGACTATAACAAATCCTTCAACATAAATGTGCAACCACCACTTAACAAGTGCCTACATGTACCAAAATAAATTGTCGTGACAGTGACACTCTGTTATAAATTTAAGTTATGTGTTTATCATAAAGTCCACAAAAACACATGCCACCAATTATTAATAAACAATAAACAAATCATCCATGTGTGTAATCTGACTGGATATATAGAAACCTCCAGCGATCAATATAAATTTGGCAGGTGAACAAAAAGTGTAATCCTTCACCAGTAAGATTGCCCCCTCACCTTCATGAAGCGACCCCACAGGGTCAAACCGCTTTTTTGCTGTTAAGCACAGCCAACCGCTCAATCCTCCACGTCAGATTCTCAGAGCTATCTCTGAGGAAGGGGGTTTATCTCCTGAAACACGTCAGCTTATCTCTAGCAAGGGTACAGCATTGTATCGACTGTCACTGCGGACCACATATTCTGCTTTTAATTTCCGTTGGTTTGTGAGTATACATCTATTTGTCTATTGATCACAACTTTGTGTAAAAAAAAAAAAAAAAAAAAAGTAATTTTTTAAAAATTTGTGGCAAAAAATAAAATCTTCCATGGACTCAACATGCCTCTCAGCAAATTCTTTGGGGTGTCTACTTTGCTAAAAGGGGGTCTTTGTACTGCCCTGGCATTTTTTTTAGCACCTCAAGAAATGTGCAGTCAGAAACTAAAAGCTGCGTAAATTCCATTATATATACCATAGTTTGTAGACGCTATAACGTTTACACAAACCAATTAATATACATGTATTGGGATTTTTTTTTACCAAAGACATGTAGCAGAATACATTTTGGCCTAAATTTATGACTAATTTTAAGTTTATTGGATCTAAATTTTTGGTCTTTTTTCATTCATATCACGAAAAATAAAAAACCCAGTGGTGATCAAATGCCACCAAAGGAAATCTCTATTTGTGTGAAAAAAAGGACATACACTTTGGGTACAGCATTGCATGACTACTCAATTACTAATTGAAATAGTGCAGTGCTGAATAGCAAAAAATGGCCTGGTCAGGAAGAGGAGTAAATCTTCTGGAGGGCAAGTAGTCAATTGTATGTCTTGGCTCAGGTAGAAGGAAAGGCTGCAGTAGCTGACTGTGCATAGGTTCACAGCTGCCTATGCAGAGTTGGAAAGGAGAGAAAATCAGGGAGATAAGATAAGGCACCATCCTTGTATATGTAACTTAATCAGTTTATGGCTCACTGATTTTAGCCACTCTACCTAGAATAGAGAGAAATCAAGGCTGTACAAAGCAGGATGAGACAGTGCTTTACTGGGTTTTAAGTTCTAGACAGTTACACTATATTGCCAAATGTATTGGGATGCCTGCCTTTACACACACATGAACTTTAATGGAATCTCAGTCTTAGTCTGTAGAGTTCAATATTGAGTTAGCCCACCCTTTGCAGCTATAACAGCTTCAACTTATCTGGGAAGGCTGTCCACAAGGTTTAGGAGTGTGTCTATGGGAATGTTTGACCATTCTTCAAGAAGCGTATTTGTGAGGTCAGGCACTCATGTTGGACGAGAAGGCCTGGCTTGGTATGCTGATGCCTTAAGAGTTCCCTTCAGTGGAACTAAGGGCCAAGCCCAACCTCTGCAAAACAACCCCACACCATAATCCCCCCTCCACCAAACTTTACACTTGGCATAGTGCAGTCAGGCAAGTACTGTTCTCCTGGCAACTGCCAAACCCAGACACGACCATCAGATTGCCAGAAAGAGAAGTGTGATTCTTAACTCCAGAGAACAAGTCTCCACTTCTCTAGAGTCCAGTGGCAGTATGCTTTACTCCACTGCATCTGACGCTTTGCATTGCACTTGGTGATGTAAGGCTTGGATGCAGCTGCTCGACCATGAAAACCCATTCCATGAAGCTCTCTACACACTGTTGTGCTAATCTGACGGCCACACAAAGTTTGGAGGTCTTTAGCTATTGACTCTGCAGACAGTCGGTGACTTCTGTGCACTGTGCGCTTCAGCATGTGCTGACCCCGCACATGTGGCCTACCACTTTGTGGCTGAGTTGCTGCTGTTCCCAGTTGCTTCCACTTTGTTATAATACCACTAACAGTTGATCATGGAATATTTAGTAGCAAGGGATTTTCATGGATGGACTTATTGCACAGGTGGCAACCTATCACAGTACCACGCTTGAATTCACTGAACTACTGAGAGCGACCCATTCTTCCACAAATGTTTGTAGAAGCAGTCTGCATGCCTAGGTGCTTGATTTTATACAACTGTGGCCATGGAGGCGATTGGAACACCTGAATCCAATGATTTGGAAGGGTGTCCCAATACTTTTGGCAATATAGTGTATTTTTAATGTTTTACATAGGTATACCTGGAAAAGCGTCAGCCTGAAGTAATCTTTCAGGACTTAATTTTTTTACTAAAGTTCCACTTTAAAGTTGCCGCTATTCTCATATACACTCATTGACCACTTTATTAGGTACACTTTGCTAGTACTGGGTTGGACCCCCTTTTCCCTTCAGAAAAATGCTTTAATTCTTTGTGGCATAGATTCAACAAAGTGTTAGAAGCATTCTTCAGTGATTTTTATCCACATTGACATGAGTTACTGTTGCCTCTATATCATCTCGAACCAGTCTGCCCATTTTCCTCTGACCTCTGACATCAACAAGGCATTTTCATCCACACAACTTCTGCTCACTGGATATTTTCTCTTTTTTGGACCATTCTCTGTAAACCATAGAGATGGTTGTGTGTGAAAAATCTCATTAGATCAGCAGTTTTTTAAGTACTCAGACCAGCCGGTCTGGCACCAACAAGCATGCCACGTACAAAGTCTCTTAAATCCCCTTTCTTCCCCATTCTGATGCTCGGTTTGAACTTCAGTAAGTCGTCTTCACCACGTCTATGTGCCTAAATGCATTGAGTTGCTGCCACGTGATTGGCTGATTAGCGATTTGTGTTTCCCCGTAATTGAACAGGTGTACCTAATAAAGTGGCCTGTGAGTGTATATTGTTAGCAATATCTTTTATGGTCAACCTTCATTTTATCTGACCTTAAACTAAAAAATGACTAAAAAAAATGCTTGTTAAAGTGTATGAATAGTCAAAGTTTTGTGTACAGTGGGGAGGAGTTTGAACCCTGGTCAACTTTTTATTGCTGTTGGTGTCCTACTTGGAAGATTCAACTTCTGTATTTGTCCTGTTAACCATTATCCCGGCAATAAATTATGAATTCAAAACAAAAAAGTTAGTTGTCCCCAGAACAGGATTAGAGGGGAAGCCTCCCAAAGGAGACATTTGTTCTGTGGGCAACCAAAAGGGTAATTACCCTCTTTAATTCCCCATTTACTTTGTGTTTGTCTCTGTGACAGAACTTGAAATTAAATCCCTACTCTCCAAAAGTGGAAAAAAGGTTTTGGGTATCCATATACTTTAAAGCTCAAAAAATGATAAAAACATCATGTAATATGAAGAAGTCTAAATGCATTTCTATGAACTTGGATTACTAAGGAATTGGCTGTCATATTCAAAGCCTGTTTCAAATTTTGGAAATCTTCTTCCATTGCATTCCACTTGATCCCTACAGATTATCTGCTTTTGGTCAGGTTGGTTAACAGTGAAGTGTGGGTTTTCAAAAGGTTGGCCACTCAATACGGGTGCCATTTTTCAGAATGCTTTGCATGTTCTGAGTGAATGCTAAGTGATCTCTGATTGGTCAAGGTGGAAAGCATGTCATCACCTCCCTGCCTCTCCACCTTATCCAATCAGAAAACACTTTGCATTCGTTCAGAAAATGCAAAGTATTTTCTGAATGGTGCCAGTACTAAGCAGTCGACGTCATGTGTTCAGAATGCATCAAGCCTGCTGTTCAGCATGGGGCCCAGTAGCATGTACCCTTCCCCCTGTCACCACGGGCTTGTAAATCCTATCTTTTTCCAAGCCTTAAAGCCCAACTCCAGGAATTGGAGAAAAATCTACTCATGCAATGTTTCATCGCCAACACACACTCACGCACTCACACTCTGCAAGGGTCCAATGCGTGTTCTTTCTAGGGATGCAGGAATAAGGAGAAGTACTTACTTTGGTCTGCACTCCACAGGATCTCTTCATGTCCCCCGCAGCCTCCTCTCAAATGTACTCACAGTGCGTGCTTGAATAATAGGAGTTAATAGGCCTGTGTTGTACATGATGACACAGAGGGACAGCCCACGGGCTGAAGCTTCAGAGAGAAGAGGGCAGTGCCAAGCAGGGAATAGAGTAAGTAATTGTGTCTGTTTGTGTGCCCCCAGATATAATGAGCAATTAACCCTTAAACCTCTGGGGAGCTTCACTACAAGAGTAGATTTTGTTCCATTTCCTGGAGTTGGGATTTATTCAAGTTTATGTGATCAGTTTGTTTTTTCTGTTTTGTTTGGTTTTTACTTCACCTCTCTTACTTGTTTCAAGCGCTCATAAAGGCCCTGCCACTTGGTCAAAAACTTACTTCCACTGTGGGAGTGAAGACCGGAACTTGATTCTCTATGTGGAAAATTTGTACTATCAGCAATCTGTTAAAACCTTTTGGGCCTCTTGAACCAGTCACATATATTATCTGACAATGGTAATCGCAGCATCAGTACAGTTTTGCATAGTTTTATTATGCTGTGCGATGGGTCCTCATTCTCCCAAGCTTCTTCAGCAATAATTTACAAGCCACGAGGATGCCATCTGTAAAATAGTTCAAAGGGAGAGAAATCTATTGAGGACTGGGGGAGCTTCTTGGATTTCGAACAATACAGTAAATAGAGCAACAGACAATACCTTTCTCTCCTATTTCAATCTACACCTTTTTTCAGCATACTTTTCAGAGCTGTATTAAACATTTCCACCGACCCATCTGTTTGAGGGTTGTACAGAAAAGCATGCAGAGGATTAATATTCAACATTCATCAAACTTCTTTCCTAACCTTTGACATAAAGGGAGTCCCTAGATACATCAATATCTTCTGCAGGAGTCCTGTGCAGGTTAAAATGTGGGACAACTCTTTGGAAATGGTTTTGGAGGTTGTATTTCTTAAAACAACAGCCTTGAGATATTAAGTATAATGGCATAATCGTTCATGACAAGAATGTAAGGGCATCGTGTAGACAACTTAACCACCACTATGACCAGGCCCATTGCTATTCACTCAAAAGGGACTTTTTTAGTTAGTAGTCCCAATAGAGTGCAATAATGAAGCATTGGAACTGAGATCTGAAAACACTAACTCCAACCCAGGTCTTCCTGGGTTTCCATTGTTTACCTTCACATTTTCAGAAGATTTTACAAGTGTGGGGTCAAGTAATTGGGCAGTTCAAAAGTTGTCGAGAGAGATCTCTAGCTCTGACTTACCAGGCATCTTAGAGTGTCTCTGGGGACTTTTCTGGCTCGCCAGCTAATATGATTAAGGGAAAAGATACACTTTTAGCAGTGCTCCCCCCATGGCCTCAGTGTCCCTTTTAAATTCCATTGGTTAATAACTGCTGCCACCTTTAAAGTGCTGTGTCTTGCAGTGCCAGTTTTAGCCCAGAACATACATACTACATAACAAATTGCTTACTTGCAGTAGGGACTAGCCATGAGGAAGAGTGAAATCCACTTGTAACGTCCACCAAATGTAGGGACCAGCTTCACATGGAGGAACCCTTTAACATATCAGTTTGCCTTTTATAGATTCTTGCCCACTTTTATTTCTCCACAGAAAAAAATTGTCACAAAAGTCCACCCTCACAGGGACTGCCAGAACAAAAAAGGTCACACAAAAATCTTTAGTTTCCTTGCTGTTCTTTGGGCCCCCATTTTCAGCCTCTTCCTAGCACAGACTAAGGCTGACTATACACTGCAAGTTGTTTTTTTCGTTCGGCTAGCGGACAGTGAAAAAAAACCCAGCAGATTCTTCCGTCCACAGGAACAAGGTAGATAGAGGAACCCCCCCCCCTCTGTGATGTTATTTGCTGATGGCACCCGCTACTGTCAGAATACACTAATCAATTACTGTAGCTAATTGGCTGCAGCCAATGATCAATGAAACTTTTTCTATTATGTCCCTTTGACAAAAATCAATTAAACACTCGACCTCTGTCAAGCAGAGGGGGGCCCACACACTGAGCAAAATATATATGAAATTATCAACTTTTTCTTAAGATAGAATATTTGTAAAGAAAAGGGTAGAAATGTTCAACAAAAATAAAGAAGCATTTTCCAAATGCTGCACTGCAGAATATCAATTGTGCTTTTTTTTTTTTTTTTTACTTCTCCTTGTGACTCATGCGGTTATAAAAAGATTATATTGACACTTCAGTTTCCGATTTTCAAAAATAAATCCTGCCAGTAACAGGCTTCTTCTATCCAGAGTTTCTTTAAATAAATGCAATCTCCATGTACTTCAATTTGCAGTCAGATCTATTTTCAAAACTAGAAATTTTCAACTAACTACCGTAAAAGTGAGAAATGGTGTGACTAGATTTTCCCTATTAGTTGCCTGTAGCAAAAAATAATTGTCAGGCTACGTTTTGCTATTACATAAAGTCTCTTGTTACATCTTTTAATGTCCAATTATAGAAGTTCTTTTTGTTTATGTTTTTACATGTCTATTTTCTAGTTTTCCAGTTTGTGTTCTTATTGTATACTATTCAGACATAAGTCTGATTTGTACTGGTTCATTTTTAAATTAGTTGTAAATGGGCAATTATCCTAACAAATACAAATGGTCAATTGTTCCTTTTTTCCTTATTACAGGAGATGTATGTCTTGAGGAAGAGGAGGAGAATTCAGAGAGACTAGAATCAAGAAAGTCCCGCCATGGGGTCATTACTTTCACAGAGGAGGAGACTGCTGAACTGGCAAAAATTCGACCTAGAGAGGGAGCTACTATTTCTGAGAAAGTGCTGGTGCAGTCAGCGGCAGAGAAAGATCGTATAAGTGAAATCAAAGACAAACAAGCAGAACTGGAAACTGAACCCAAATTTGCTAACTGTTGCACTTACTGCCCCAAAAGCTTTAAGAAGCCCAGTGACTTGATTAGGTATACACTATTTACTGCATATTTTCTATCTTTTTATGCATGCATGGACAAATATGATTAAGGGCCCGTTCACACTAACATGCTAATACATGCACATGTGCTGACAATGTGTGTTGTGCAACACAACCCAATGCAGCTGGATTGGGCCCTTACAGAAAGAATGATAGCCCTTCCCTGATTGATTAGTAATACCATATTTTTCGCTCCATAAGACGCACCTGACCATAAGACGCACCTAGGTTTTAGAGGCAGAAAACAGGGGAAAAAAAATTCTGAACTAATGGACTGCAGACATAGTACAGGAGATGACCAGAGACTATGGACAGCACAGGGATGACCAGAGACTGTGGACAGCACAGGGATGACCAGAGACTGCGGACAGCACAGGGATGACCAGAGACTGCAGACAGCACAGGGATGACCAGAGACTGCGGACAGTACAGGAGATGACTGCTGACCTTTGGGGAGGTGGGGAGCGGGTACCTGAATTTGACAGGTACCTGCTCTTACTTCCGCAGAGTTGTTCTTTGATCTTACCTGTTCCTCTATCCAGCCGCGCGCTGTCTTCCCGGCTTCTGTAGTGTCGGCGCTCAGCATGACAGCCGGGTGCCCAGTGCGCTTGAGCAAGAAGCACTTGCGCTTTGTGATTGGTCCCGCGGCTTCTGGGATCTGTCGTGTCCCAGGTACCGCCTTACCATTCACAAAAAGCACCGCTTCTTGCGCATGCGAACTTGGCACCCGGCTGTCTAGCCCAGCGCCCACACTACAGAAGCCGGGAAGACAGCGCGCCGCTGGATAGAGGAACAGGTAAGGTCAATGAACAACTCCGCTGAAGAGCGGGTACCTGTCAAATTCAGGTACCTGCTCCCCACCTCCCCAAAGGTCAGCAGTCATCTCCATAAGGTCCCGCTGCAGAGCTGAGCGGCCGGCCCGGTATTCTGACACGGCGGCGGTGGAAATACCGGACCGGCCGCTCCATATTCGCTCCATAAGACGCACTGACATTTTCCCCCCTTTTTTGGGGGGAAAAAAGTGTGTCTTATGGAGCGAAAAATACGGTAATTGATTTTGACAATTGTGTTTAGGAAGTTAAAAGAACAGAGTACTAGAGCTACAACCTAAAATCTGGGGCGGCGGTGCTGTGGGATGATTGAAAACAAATAGTAGAAATAAGGTCATATTATATGTGGGGAACTAAAGTATGTTATCCTAATCTGTTGTTGACACTGGGCATGCTACATACATTCAAACATCATTGAAATACACAGTAAATACAGCAGCTGTAATAGCTGCTGCTACAAAAGATACACGCCATCTAAAAACCATGTCCAGAGCCGTGGCATTACCTACAGCCTCTACAAGTGTTGTCAGGAGGGAGAGAAGGCGCTTCTAAGTGAAATAAGCAAGGTACTTTCTTCTGACAGAAAGATAAAACACACTTACAGAAGCGTGGTGGGAAAAAAGCTTGTCAGTCCCATATGATGCTACTGAAATCCTCCTGTGGGAGATGGAGTCCTTTAGCTGTACATTCTCTTCATCTACAAGTTTTGCCCCCAGTTTAGGCTCCTTTGGGGCTCCTAAGACCTACAAGACAATTTTGGTGCATTCTCTGTTTTCAGTCTTCCTTTATGGAGTCTGAAGATCATGACAAGGTCTTTGTGCCTTCAAAGCATCTGCCAGCCTTGTACCACTTTGAGAAGGATTTTGTTAAAATTGGCCTGCCTTCTAATGTGGATCCCACCCGATTAAGAAATCTTTTTTCCTTGGCACGTCCCACAAGGCCACCTGTCTTTGCTGTGACCTTAACCCCTTCACGCCTATGGGTAAAGCAAATCTAAATGCCTAAGCACAATTTTGCAACGTTGACATGTGTTAGTAAAACTGTACATATCATCATAACTACTTTGTACATCCAGGTGAATTATACCTTGTTTTTTTCAGGACAAATTGGGCTTTCATTTGGTGGTAAATGGTAAAATCTTTAGATTTTTTTTTTATCAAAGGAAAACTAGCCCAAAATAGTAAAATAAATCATTTTTTTTTTTAATTTAGCTGTGTGTTTCTTGTTACTACCATAACCTACCACCAAAGAACAACCCAAAATAAATTCTCCAGCTCTTGATGATCGCAGCGATATCATATATGTGTATGTTATTTGTTGTTTGTACCCGTAGTACAGCCCAGAAACAATAGTGCACATTTTGTTTTTGTTTTTTTACCTAAAACACACTTCTTTATTTTTATTTTTTTTTTTTAATATTTATTTATCTTTTTTTTTTTCCCTCTATGTCAGCAGTTAGAGAGATACAATGGATCTCTCTCCTCCTCCATTCATAGAAAGAGAAAAAAACAAGGGGGGCAGGCTGTACAGTGACTGATCACTGTGATAGCCAATCAGAAGCTATCACAGCGATCATGTGACCCGGAATCGGGAGCCCGGGTCCCGATCGTTAGAATGGGACCCGGTACGGTCAGTGACACCGCGGTCTTTGTGCTGGGAGCGTGCCATGCTGTGCACTCCCAGCACAAAGACAGGTACACAAATATGCGGCCCCACGGAAAAAAGCCCAGTTCTGTGAGGCCGCATATTTGTGTTACATCAGCGTCAAGGGGTTAACCTGTCAAATTATAGCTGGTCTAGGGCCACTAGAAGTTATCTGATCACTATGGCAATTAATCCCTTGGCCATAGAGCCTTTGGAATTCATGCCTGCAGATTTGAACTATGGTGTGGGCTAGTTATTAGAAGTCTCACACCTCATTTCCCATGTCCAATCTCTTGCCAGTGAACATAAGGAGGACCCTTTTGTTTATGTGTTAGGCTTCAGAACCTGCATGCAAAAAGTGCTTACTTCATATGCCTTTCGAAGGACAACACATTTTAAGGGTTTCCCTGGATGCCCTCACCAAGGATGTCACCATTGACAAAAGTAACCATCTTCTGCAACAAAAGAAGCCCATGACTCAGTTTGTAAAGATCCCATTTGGTTTTTCTACAATCTCAACTTCCAGGTCCAAACCCAAGTTCACCCGCAAGTTGCAGTAAAAGTGGAAAAGAGGTTTTTTTTTTTTTACTCTTCTACTGTGAACATCAGCACCGACTGATGTTTACAACATCCTTTGCCTGCAGATCAGTCTGCTTAGGACTACTTTGGAGTCCATTTAACATTCTGCCATTGTGTGCCCCCCATAAATGCATTGCATGTCTTTTGCCTTGCATGTTGTAACTAGCTGAACAATAAAGAATCTGAATAGGTGATTAGTTTGGTACCAAAATCTAGGAAGTCTACTTCTTGCAATGTCTATCTTTGGACACAGAAGGCATACTTTGCTTGGTGTGAGGCGATAGGCTTTCACCCCTGGATGTTCACTGTGGGACATGTTCTGTCCTTACAGATGGACCTGAACTAGCATTTGCCTTTTAGCACCATTGAGGGTGAGGTCCCTGCACTTGTAGTCTTGTTCCACAGACAGCTGGCTTAGACTCTTGTGCAGGGTCTCTCCCATGTGCCTCTGCCTGTTACTTTATAGGATCTGAATTTGGTTCAATCAGCACTTTAAAAACCATCCTTTAAACCTGTCAGGGGAATTCTCCTTTACACTCTCACAAGCTTGTGTTTGGGCTAGCGGCCTTATTCTGTAGAGAATGGTTTCTGGTCTTACTTACATGACTTATGCACATTGAAGTGGAGGATCCCCTTGAAGGTTGTTGCCGTGAGTACAGTCAAACATACGGCTTCACTCAAAATCCTGTGCACTTCTGCATAGAAACCAATCAGTTTACAGGTTTTAATGCTAAAGCTTAATTGAACAAGCTGAGGTTAGAAGCTGACTGGCTACAATGTACAGGTGCACAGGATACTGAGTGAACCAGCTTTAATAAATAAACCACATTGTGTGTAATCATCTGTTGGCATTGCTATCTACGCAGTGAAAGAAATTTATATGTGTTTCAATGGAGCATGCTAGTTAGTTTGTGCCTTAGAATGATGATGGCTGTGCAATAGACTACATCAGCACTTTACATGAATACCGGTCTCAGTGTTGTTGATGTGTGCTAAGGTGCATGGCTGTGGGTACATCACAGGACACAGAGCGACCATATTAATTCTTACTTAATGGGATGTCCCAAAGCTGCAAGTTCAGTACAACCTCAGTAGAACCTTGGGAGCCAGACCCCACCTAGTGGGGACAGTCTGTAATGTTGCTTCGGGCATTGGATCTTGCATGGGTGCTCACCTTGTCACAGAATCCTGGCTTGTGATCCATTTCCTTGGAGCCTAGTCCCTGAAGACACCTTCTGGGATATGCCCACTGTTCTGTCCTTGCTAGACATTTCCCTGTGTGTTACTCGGCATGCAGCTAAACCCTCCTATTCTGCAATAATCCAGACTGAATGTAATCTTGAAGCTTTATTAACAAAACGGGGTTGGTGAAACTAATAGGAAAAAACAAGTGAGATAAAACATACAATCAATGTGTGAAACATACAAAACTCATTTAAATTATTAGGTTGTAGATGGCAAAATCTATGCTCACCAGTGATGCTACCTATAAAGGATATAATTTCCTTTCCTTTCCCTCCTTTCTTAAAATGGAGTCTGAGCTCCCAGGACACACCTATTTCCTTTTGTTAGAATGAAGGAGTTTATTTATTAAGGCTAAACAGTTGCTAGTTTCTGTAAAACAGTAAATCTACTCTGGTTTCCATTTAGTTGCCAAATTTAATATTGCAGGCTGGACAGGAAAATGAACCTCCTTGCTGGAGGCCAAAAACCAACCTTGACAGACAAAGCCTCTACTTTATTTAAAGTCATCTGGAGGAAGAGCCCATTTCTCTTGATCCATGCGATGGAGGCTGAAATCCCTGTGGTCCAAATCCCAGGAGTTGACAACTGGAAATCACATTACCTCAGCTGTCATTGCCTGGATTAAGTGAAATGGGCTCTTCACTCAGATGTCCTTAGTCAAATATGCCAAAGTTGGGGGATTCTGGATGTG